GTTTCTTTTAACTTAGAAAATACTTGTACATGTCTATAAAGTTGTATGATAAAAATAAACATTTCCTCATTGTAACCTCAAAAAAAATAATAATACAGCATTTAAAACTATGAATTTTACTCTGAATACAGCTTTGGTTACATCTCAAGTTTGATAAGTATTGTTATTGTGATTGTTTACCAACTAGGTAATAACAGTTTCTCTTTGACCAATATTTATTTAGTTGACTTTTAACAATTTAGGATTTATTATATTTTAATAATTATATGTTGTCATTTTCTTTTATTATGAATATTGCTCACAAATATTGGTTATGTAATAACTATCCTAAAGGATTCATTAATGCAGAATTTTTGGTATAAAATTTATACATTTAAAAAATCTAACAATGAATGGTTTCAAATAATCTGTATTCCCTCTTCAAAAAGTACAAAATTCAACATATATACTATTAAATATACCTACTAGTTTATTAATTTTTTAAATTCCATTATCATTTTTTTTACTTGAGAGATTAAAAACTGGCAAGAACACCGTGAAATCTTTGGTGAATATGGCTTTGTCAGAGTGTTCTTGTATAATGCATATTTGTAAGATCTGACATTCTACAAATTTCACTATCATATTGTCTGATTCCTCAGGTGATTGTTACCCTATCAGTTTAGTTTTTACAAGCTGGTCCTCCTTTTTTCCCATGTTCATATTGCTACAAGTATTGTACCTGTTGTTTACATCCTGACAATACCTGACACGGCAAAAGAAACAGGGCAATGGAGACTGAGTAGGTCAGTCCAGGTGTACTACTGTCATATGAAGTAGCGTTGACCCCGAATAGATGTCTGGGCCATGTCACTGTGCCAGAAGAGACAGTGGCTCAAATGTCACAGTGATTAAGAATACATCTGATTGAAAGTTACAGAAAACATTTAACTAGGAGCAATTATAATTAAAAATAAAATAATGTACAAACTTACTTTTCTTTGGGAAGGCCATCACAATTAGAAATACAGGGTCTAGCAGAAGTAAGGCCTGCTTGAGTGTAGTTGTTAGGGTAATAATATGGGTATAATATTTATAGTTTTAATTTGAACATTTCACCTAACATGTCATATGGCGTCCTTGAGTGTGATATTGTTATGTTATAGAATTACATGCTTATGATTTTATAATAAAATCGGGGCATTATCTGTGCCGGACCCTGCACGTTAGCAAAGAGTGTATCCATTCTGGGTCTCTCCCAAGGGAGCAAAATCAAGCAGTTCACAAAGATGGGCTCCAAGGAGGACCATCATTGCATTCATTAACTAAGGAAACAACTACATATTAAATTATTATATTTGAATAAAATTTATTTTGTTTGATTTTTAAAACTATATAATTGATAAAGCTTATAGAGAAATAGGAAAAAATGTTATCTTCAAAAATAAACTATTTTTTTTACTGACTTAATTACATAAGCCAAAATAAAAATCAAATTACATAATTTTAAGTTTCAGAAAGTACGACTTTCAACAACTTTTAAGACATAAGTATTATATAAATAGATACTATATGCATATATTATATATATTATGTTGCATGTATATGTCTTTAGTGTTGATTTGCATACATTAAGCATAAAATGAAGTCTGATTTTCACATTTTTTCAGAATTGATCTGAGACTGATGGTTGTCAGAGGGGAGGGGTTTGTGGGTCTGGCTTAAAAAGGTTAAGGGATTAAGCAGTATAAATTGGTAGTTATAAAATAGTCACAGGCATGCAAAGTACAGCATAGGAAATATGTCAATAATATTGTAATAACTCTGTATGGTATCAAGTGGGTACTGGAAATATCAGAGGGATCACTTGGTAAATACGAGGTCTGTCTGGAGAAAGCCCAGCTATTGTTAACATAACAAGAATGGTTTGCTCAACATCAATGTAACCTGGAAGCCAAGGAAAGTAGACTGGAATGTGGTTGTGTCAACAATGATGACTTCATTGTTCTAGTCAGTGATGGCAGTAGACATCACTGAGTGATCATGTGTACTGTGTGGCTGTTACCTTCAAAATGACTGAACTAGTAAAGCAAAGAATCTTCATCAAATCTCGTGTTAAGCTTGAACATTCCTCCACAGAAACTATTTGGATGATTCAGTAGGTATTTGGAGGTAATGCAATGAGTGCAGTGCAAATAAAACTGTGGCACAAATGCTTCAAAGATGGTTGAGAATCTGCTGAAAATGATCCACATTCTGGAAGGCATGCAACAAGCAGAACACCTGGGAATGTTGAACATGTACAGGCTGAAATCAACAAAGACTGGAGACTGACAGTGTGAAAATTAGAAGCTGACCTCGGGATTCCAAAAACTACTGCGTCCGAGATTTTGACTCAGATGGTGGCATGAAACATGTCATGACAAAACTCATTCCATGGCTTCCGCTACTAGAGCAGAAGGAACATTGTGCTGCAATTGCTAATGACAATTCAAACCACTACCAATGAACCAGATTTCCTCAAGGTCATAAGCGGAGGTGAATGGTGGGTCTATAGCTATGATCTGGAAATGAAGGTCCAGTTGTCCTAATGTAAGTCTCCTGGTTCTCCACGCCCAAAGAAGGTGAGGCAAAGTCCTAGCAAGATCAAGACCATGTTAACTGTGTTTTTTGAATGGGAGGGTGTTGACCATCAGGAGTATGCCCCTCCAGGCCAAACAATTAATAAGGAGTGCTACCTCAATGCTCTCCACTGGTTGAGAGATGCAATACGACAAATAGGGCTGCAACTATGGACAAGTGGTGATTCGCAGCTTCATCATGGCAATATACCCACTCATGCATCATGTCTCACGCAGAGTTTTTTGGCGAAACATCAAATCGCCCCAGTTACTCTGCCCCCGAAAGCCCAGATTTGGTATCCCGCAACTTCTGGCTTTTTCCAAAACTAAAATCACCTCTGAAAGGGAAGAGATTTCAGTGCCTCAATGAGATTTCAGGAAAATATGACAGGACAGCTCATGGTGACTGGGAGAACTATGTGAGGTCCAAGGTGTGACTTTAAAGGGGACTGAGGCATCATTGTCCTATGTATAATGTTTATTGTCCTGTACCTTTTTCAATAAATGTCTCTATTTTTTATATTACTTGGCTGGATACCTTCCGGACAGACCTCATATATGATAGTCTAACCACTATGCTGTACGATGGAAACCAAAACAAATAATAATGAATATAAAATGTAATTTAAAAATAACAATTTTAAAAAAAGATGATATCTACTTAAAAATTTTAAAAGTTTTTTATTGTTTTTTTGATAATCATTCTTATTCATTACTTCTACAAAGGAACATTTGCTGTTGAATATTACTCACTTAAAAACACTTATGGTTATATGTATTTTCTCTCAGGAACTAGGAAAGAACAAACAATGTAACTGCATTTTACTAAAATTCTGCTAGACAGTACTGAATGCAAACTCATATTATGAGTGAATAATGTTATATTTCACCTTATTTTAATTTCAGTAATTGAGTGGGAAAACAGGAAGACCTATTAAAAGAACCCTGTGCTGGTCAAGCACTAATGAGGAAATATCTGAGTCCCTGGCTGCCATGGCAACAGAGCATTATGGAAATCTGATGAGCATGCCCAGCAGCTACGTAAGTGATAGGCTATACTTCTAATTGTGTTCTCTCTACTTGCAAGATGGGCTTCATGCTCCTCAGAGATGAAAGTTGATGTGGCCCTGTTTCTCTATATACCAGATACGGAATGCACTACATGTTCAAAAGTTAAATTCAAACATGTAGCACTCAAGGTAAATCACACTTTGAGAAAATCTTCAAAAAATTAGTTCACTCACAAATTCTTGAAAAACTTAGCTTCTTTATGACTATCTAATTTCATTGACGACATAACAAGCTAAATTTTTTTTTAAAGGAGTTTTGGGAAAATATGAAAATAAATCAGTAAGAGTCTTCCTCAGAGCAAAATTTCCCAAAGGACTGGTTTAGAAATTACACCAGAAGTTTGAGTCTCCAGGAATCATGAGACTAGAGAATGTTAGCAAGAGCCAGACTCAAGTGTGTTTACAAAGGCTGAGTATAACAATGGGATTGGGGTGGGACTTGACTATGAGCAACTACAGGCAGAGCTTTTCAATGTGTCTGTGTGTTTAGCAATATTTTTCCCTCTGCGTCCTTGGCCTTTGAGGTACAAAATTCAATGAATTCTGAAAATTACAGAACTCTATACTTTCAGTTCTCCTTTGTTCTCTTTAATATCTTGAGTGTCACTGAATTTGTAACAAAATTGATCACTGCCTTCCGATCATTTTTTTTCCAGATAACTTAATACAATGAAAAACCTGCAAGATTAGCTGAGGCAAAGTAAACACTAGCATGCATTATGGACTAGAAATCTGTGTGTCTTGTTAGAGCTTGTGAGTACAAGAAGCATTAATAACACTTCTTCTGGGAAGCTTTTTACTCTTGTTAAATGCATCAGCACGTGGACTGTTTTACAAGTTCCAAATATCAAAAGCAATCAATCTAAAGTCAATATAATGAAAGCCAAAGGAGCATTTATCTACACTTTTCTAAATTCAGTAAGGGTATGATGTTGTAGAGAGAAAAAGAAAAGCGCCATCAAAACCAGCGAAGTACAAAGTTTAATTTATACAAGGTAAGTCATAGTGTTCTATTGGATTGTGTGCTTGAAAATTTGCTAAGAGGGTAGATCTTATGTTAAGTATTTTAATGATGGTGATAATAATAATAAATAAAGTGGGTGGCAGGCAACTACAGGAGATGATAAAAGTATTTATAGCATAGACCGTGCTGATGCTTTCAAGGATGTATACCTATCTCCCAACTCATCAAGCTGCATATATTAAATACATACAGTTTTTGTCCGTTATTCCTATTTCAATTTTTGCAAAGCCAGGGGAGTGAGAAGCAGAATACACAAGTGCATTCCTTGGAGAGATTAGGCTGGTTCAGGGACTCACGTGCACTGACCTGGGATGGAAGCAGCAGCTGGAAAGCCAGTCGGTGTGGCCAGTTCCTGTGAGAAGCACGTCGCCTTTGGGGAGCCCCACTGCCTTCCAGAGGCGGTCCTCACCGCAGGAGACTAGGGTGTCCTTGTTGGGGTGCACGACGATGCTGCACGGGGAGAGAGAAGAGAGGGTGATGCGGAGGTAACAGGGAATGCTTTCGCGCTGTGAATAAATGAAATGACAGTAGTTATCCTTCTTCCGCAGGGCAGGACCGTTCGCTGGGTGCTGGAGCTCGGAGGGACGAGATTTTCCGACCTGGCTAGGGCTCCAACCCTAAGCGCTTTCTGATCACCGTCCATCTAATTAACTTCACTGGATCACAGATTCCTTACGTGTCAAGTGAGATGGTTGGTTTAGGTAATTGCTCATGTCTAATTCTAATTTGAAATCAATCATTCTGTTTTTTGTTGGTTTTTTTTAGGAGGAGAAAGTGATGCCAATGTTAGTTTGGTATTATGATAGTTGGACCAGTAACCGTGCTTATTATTAAGAAAATCAAAATTCTTTTCAGTCTATAGTATATCTTAAATCAGGCATTATCAAGGAAAAGATCATGAATCATAACCAGTATCATAGTCCTTTAATAAACACTATAAATGAAACATTAACTCCATGGCCTACTATCTACACAAAGCAAAGGAGCTCAAATTCTGTGCTAATATGCCACTTAAATTGTCTTCAGTCGATGCACAGTACACAAATTACAGTAATGAATTCAGGATGCATAAGGCAATTCCCTCTCTATAAAGGCATAGAGGGAAATGAGAGAGAAGTGTGCAAAATTAACGATTAACACATTAAACAGTTTATTATTTGAATCAGCTATGATCATTGGGGCTATTTAAATATTGGAACTAAACCATTCCAAAATCAAGAGTCTATAAGGTTAATGTCTGATATTTTATCTATGCCAATGCTTTAATCTTATTTATATAGAGTTTCATCTATGCTTTATGATGTAATGGAACAAATGTGCCCAATGTTAAGCACCTATCAAAATATCAGTCTAAATATTAGTGGCAAATTTTTCAATTTCAACATAGCCATCTCAAAACTAAGGCATAATGCCTTTACTTGCCCAAATAGTGAAGTGGAATAATGACTTCAGGATAAAAACAATAGCCCTGGTTGGTGTGACTCAGTGGATTGAGTGCCAGCCTGTGAACCAAAGAGTCCCTGGTTCAGTTCCCAGTCAGGGCACGTGCCTGGGTTGAAGGCCAGGTCCCCAATAGGAGGTGCGGGAGAGGCAACGACACATTGATGTTTCCCTCTCTCCCTCTTTTCCTGTCTCTCTAAAATAAATAAATAAATGAATGAATAAATTAAAAAAATAAAAACTATATATTCATTTCTCTCAAAGTACATTCTCTGAACTGCCTTGTTCCTTTCTTCTTCAGTATACACTGTATGAAATTAAGTTCCCAAAGAAATAATGGTCTCAGTCCATCCTTACATGGGTAGCTCCAGGACTTACATGAGATTAAAACTATTCTCACCATAGATCCCTTCCATTAATATCATTTAACCTCAATATTTGGAACTGAAAATTCATTTCCTTGCATTAGACCTGTACAATTTTGGAAATCTGCTGGGGTAAATCAGTGTTGCAAACATTCAAATCACTGGCATGTACCACTATGAGCAGGGCCTTCTTTCTAGTGAAACAATGTTTCATTTCTCTCCAGCATTTCCCTGCTCAAAACAAACACAGTGGAGGGGAAATTTTTCATTTTGCAATTCATCACAGTGTTGGTTTGTGACTTTTAGAGACCAATTCAGGAAAGGAATTTATTACAGCTCAAACTGGGTAGAGGATGAATTTATAGAACTTAATTGGAAGAAAACTATGATGAAAGGTAAAAAAAAAAAAGTCAGGCTGAAATGAATTCTATATTCAAATACACATAAGAAGGCAGACCGAATCTTTGAAGCTACTGAATGTGATGTATATGGACTCACAGCTTTCCTGGCAGACACATGCACACTTGAGTAGATGATAAATTACCCTCTTTAAGAAAAGATAACTAAATCATCGATGTCTTTACAAACTTTGAAAGATAAGTTTCCCAAATGACTCTTGGGAGGGGCACTATTTGTAGGAGTTAAGGAAAAATATAAACACAAACCCATAATCAATTTGGGAAGTGTTTTCCCAGACTCTCCTTATCTTTTCTGTTTAGGAGCCTCCTCCATCCCTCCTGCGACTCCTGCTTCCACCCCACACGCTGATCCCATGCTCTCGTTTCTTTGCCCACACGTTCCTTTTCTAACATGGATTCTTTTTATAAATTTCTCTCATAAGTGTTTTCTTTTCCTAATCATTCTGCACAAAGTTCAGTCAAATACTGATATTCTATTTTTCAAAGAATGTCTTTTACTTTATCCATGAAATGGTTTTTAAGTGAACAGAAATATTTCCAGAGTATATCAGAAGGCATCTAATGCTTCACAACAATCAGCCAATAAACACTTGTTTATTGCCTTGGTCATTAAATAAATGCATCGGCAAAGACTGGGTCATAGTGATAAAGATCCTCAATCAAGTAACTCCCACCTCAGATCACTCCATGTGGGAGGTGATCAAGATGGAGAACACGTAGACCAGAAATGCTTCCCCAGATACAGAAGTTCAATGTTATTATCAACTCCATGATGAGGTACTGGTGTCTGAAGTCTTCCTCCTCCATCATCATCAATTAACAGTAATGATATCTTATAGTGTTTGAAACCTTAATGTGCCCGAGAACCTGTACTGAATGCTTTTAATTTTCACAAGGTGAGTGAATGCTCGTAAGAGGTGGGCTTATGGCTGTTTTGTTTGCTGCATACTTTCTGTGTAGTCATCCCCAAGCATGTGGACACATAGCTATTCAACAAGTGTTTGTCAAATATCTGATGGAGCCAGACTTTGGTACAATTAGTTTTGTGATTCTATGACAAAGTAAACAGCAGTTGAGGTGTAAATTGCAAAAGTTCACATCTGGTAATGGACAGAAACTGACTTTGAATTCAGGCCAGCTTGATTTTGAGGCTCACGATTTTAGTTACGTGTACTTAGTATCAATCTTTCACAGTTTGTTATTTATATGTGTATTATAAACATCAATCATTGTTATTATAAAGATTGAAAATAATTGTTATCATTCCCAGTAACTGCTTAAGTCGTTTAGTCATTATTAAACCCTTAGTTAAAGAAACCACCTAGGAATTGTCAGGGTGTATACTGGCATGCTGAACTGCCTGGCATACTAATCTTAAAGGGATTAGAGGATCCTACCCTTCAGAGTTAAAAATTCTCCTGTGTTGTAGAAGCAACGAGGTGACAGTAGCCCTCCCACATTCCTGTCTACATCAGGCTTCTGTGCTGATGCACTACATTCTGCACTTGATAAGGTATTTAATTTGTTTTCTTGTGCTAAAATTATAAGCCTTGTTTTGTACTTCAAGTTGTCAGAGAGCGTTGCCTTTTTATTCACCTATTTTATAGAGCATGCTGTAAATAATAAATGTAGGAGAATATTTAATAAGCACTGATAATTTTCCCAGTACATTGAGTCCTCAATTCTTATCATTCTATTTATCTCTAAAGCAGCCTTTTGAAGAAGCTGAGGAAAAAGAGAAATAACTACCACTCCATAGGAGTCAGTTCTTTATCCTAAAGATGCATACATTAACTCATTTAATGGCCAGAACACCCTATGAGTTAAGTCTACTGTTATTCCCACTTAGCAGATGGTGGAACTGGGGCACCCAGAGGTTAAGAGATCAGCTCAAGGTCCTGGATTTAGGAAGTGGCAGACCCAGGGCAACAATCCCAGTGGACTGTGCCAGAATCCCTGTCTTTCTATAGAGTGAGCTCAGAGCCTCCGCTGCCTTACCTAGTTGAGGAGTAAAAGCTAAGTCAGGAGTTGTCTTATTTCTGTCTAGAGGATTTACTGAGGTGCATCTTGAAGATCCTAAGAAACTGCTATTTTTCTTCTGTCATTTTCTAATGATGTATGAAAGGTTCTAACTATTATCACTTGTTGTTTGCTATTAGGTAGGCACTGGCTAGGTTCAGAGTGGTGGAAGGCTGGATCAAAGATGATTGAGAAGGGAGTTCTTATGTTCTAAAGCAGAGGTTGGCAAATGTTTTCTGTAAAGGACAGGATAGTAAAATTGTGGGGCATATGGTCTCCGTTGTAAGTACCCAAGTCTGCTGTTGTAGTCTGAAAGTGGCAATAGACACAATAGAAATGAAATGAACCAGGCTGTGTTCCAGTTCAACTTTATTTACAAAACCAGGTGATGGGCCAGGTTTGGCCTTTGGCCCTACTTTTCCTACAGCCTGTTTCACAGCCTGTGCCCAGCATGGCCTAGGCTAGCGTGGGCTCCAGTGTTTGCCTGCAGGCGTCCTTTGCCAGAGGGTCCTCCTCTGAAAAATGGGAAGACTATTGTATTGACTTCATAGGCTACTTCTGAGCATTAAATACGTTAATACATAAAAGGACTTAGAACAGGGCTGTGCACGTAGCAGAAACTCAACGCACGTTATCTTCGTGCAGAGAGACAGAGTCTCCAAGGCTAGCCTGCCGAGATTTGAATACTAGCTTCTCACTTACATTTATTAGCTGATTACATTGCACAACCTCTCAGCCTCAGTTTCCTTATTTGTGAAAAGGAGGGAATAATAAAACTGATCCAGAGGGATGTTGTAAGGATAAAATAAGTTTATCTATATAAAGTGCTTGGAACAATATGTGAACATGCTTCACTCACCACAAAAGGTTGTAGCTATTATCATTAATCAACATTATTGTACGTCATTATAACTGGCCCTTCAAATAGTTAATGTCTATAATCCACACATGCCTCTCTTAGAGATCATGGGCAGTAAGTTTAGCACTTAAAATTGTAGTTATTTAGAGAGAAATTATATTCCCATGTGGCTTTGATAAACCCCGGACTCTGCTAGGCTTGATTTGATGTTAAATCCTTTGGTTAAATGGTAGCCCTCATGTATAATGCTTTACAAATTAACATGAAGAAATTTTGTGGGGTTTTTTCATGATCCAGTGTTCAGGAACACATTCAGAGAGACGCTGGGCAGTGTGTACACACTGACTC